AAAGAAAAACATTTCAAACTTTCGTTTTTTGCTGTAAGAATATAATGGAATTATTACGTCATTTTTAAGTCAGAACATATGACTTTATATTGAGGTCATAAAAAATCACCATTACGTCATGCCTACGAAAATATTTGAAGATCACTGTATGACCTATGTATGTCATCATTTTAAGGCCTTGTGTTCACTGGACGGCTCTACCCGTCCTCGCCATATCCTATGGTGTATAATGTAGGACTATATAATATTTTTATTAAAAATAAAAGCACAAATTAGAAAAAAGAAAAAACATTTAGGCGTAGTTACCAATTAAATCATTTTTATTTAAATATTTCGTTATGGTGGACCAAAGATTATGGATGAATTCATAATTTATCCTTTTTGATTAAAACATGAGTATCATTCGTGTGTATAGAAGGATTTGTTCAAGTATCAATAGTAAAGAATATTTATTATTTAAACATTAGATTTTTGTTTAAAAAAAAAATTCGTTATTTAATAATATATAGATATGTTAAAACAATTTAGTAAAATAATTATTTACATAATAATATTATATATTGTATAACAGTTGACAAATTATAAATCAAAATTAACTTTTACTTTTTTGATAACTTTAAAAAATGAATATTGTAATAATTATAAATGCGCAATTATTTGTGTATGTTCATTTAGGTAGGATAATAAATAGAATAGGAAATAATTCATTTGAAATGTGGTAAAAAGAATTTTGTATTTACATAGGAGGTATCAGTTTAGTTCTATACAATTTGTATTTACTTATCTTTAAGTAAAACATCAAACTTGTTATTTGTCTATCTTATGGTTAATAATATTGAAGCATCATCTTCATCTTCTTCCTCTTCCTCTTTACTTTCCTCTTCGCTAGTTTCTTCTTTTGATGAAGGAGCTCCTGATTTGTCAGTTTGTTCATCATCATCTTCTTCTTTCTCTAATTCTAACCCTTCGTCTTCATCTTCTTCATTATCGGAAAAGAAATATTATACTTTCTGTTTGAACTGAGAGCATGGTTTTTTATTTACATTCATTAAGGGTCATCTTTTTCATCTTTCTGGTAGTCCCATTCAAGATAATCTGGTTTTCATAATATTTTGAAAAACATAAATAACTAAATGAATAATATTACATTATATTTTGTAGAAATATTTTAATAATAATTAGATAAACATAAACATAAATATAATAGTAGTAAAATATTACCTTTTTCTGTAGACCAATTGGTAGGATATATGTAAATACGGATTCTTCCTTCTAATAACATTCGTAAAATTGAATTGGCAGCTTTATAAGTATCTAATCTTGCTGCTTTAGCTGTGTAATAATCTTTCTTGGCAACCCAACCATCGCATATGTCCATGGCAGACCAAGCACCATCCTCCGAATATGATTGTTGTTTTATATTTAATATTTTTGGTAAATCTATTTGTTCTGCTATAAATCTGATGCTCCTGTATGGATCTCTGACTTGAGCAATTGGATATAGTCCCATTAAAATTTGATATAGTCACATTAAAATACCAAGCCGGGACAGTCACAAAGACAAACCGTTTTTGTTAAGAAGATCGTTTGAAAGTGTTTTGTATGATTAGGTGTACGTGACATGCTTACCACTTTTTACCAATCAATGAATTTATCAAAGATGATTTTCCAACATTTGGTGTACCAATGCAACATCATTCTTCCTGTCTATATCTAATACGTCCATTTTTGAATGCATCTCTTTTTGAATTTTAGCATTCCATGAACCCAAATCAACTTTATCTGCCACGATAGTTTTACATTCTTCTAATAATTGTAAAGCTTTTTCTGATGTCATCTTCAATCTTTCTCTTTTACAAAGTTTCTTGGTACCTTGATCCTTTGTATTGTTCTTCAATGTATTATTTGGAAACGATGTGAACATTAATATATGTAAATCTGGATAAAGTTTAGTAAAATAATTTTTCCAAGCTAATGTTAAAGCAGGAGACGCTAAATCAATTTTGTTGAGAATTAAGATTAGGTCTTTTCCAAGTTCTTCTTTTATATATGTGTATAAATAAGGTGAAAACATCAATGGAGCAAATCTAATGTCGACAAGTCATCGACATTGGTCACAACAATATATCAGAAATTTTTATAACTCTCCATAATTGTCTCCAAAATTCTAAATTTATTTCCAGTGTCGTCCGGACACATTAAGTGTCCATGTGTTCGGATGTATATTTTTGATCACAGTTTCTTGCAGTGATAGAAGCTTTTCGTACTTTAGATGCTGTAATGCCAAACCACTTTTCTATTATTAAAATAAATTTTGCTGTTGTTAAGGCTTCTTCGGGTAATATTTTCATTTTTACTGCAGTTTTTAGTGCATTCGCAGTTTTAAGCGAAAAAAAACGAACCGCTGCGCCTACATTAATTTTATCAAAATTTAATGGTTCAATGTCCTTTCTTTTAAGATGGTGTAATAACCGTTTTGCTCCAACATTTGATACTTCATAATTCCATAAATTAATTATGTGCGAACCATCAACTACATTTGTTGATAAGCTTTCCATTTCAACAAATTCAGCTGGCAGATACACTAGCTGTCTTAAAACAGCTGATTTTAAATTTTTTAATAGATGGCAAACATCGGGCGATACATTAATTTCATGCTTATTGTAATTAAATGAATTAACTCTCTTGCCATATTTCGTTGCAGTTATTTTCAAAGATGTCCAAAAAGATCTGTTTCTGCCGTCCAAATCTGAGGCAAGTCCACATTTTTCTACACTGGTAATACAATCTAGAATAAAATTTTTTACTTGAACTGGATCTATGGATTCTTTACGAGTAACGTGGCAAGCAATCACTTTCCTCCATTTATTTTATATACCTCTAATAACCACCACAAATAATTTTTGTCCTAATAGAGATTTATCGGCTCCCAGTGTAGCATGACCAGTAAATTCTCCTATAATTTTGTTATAATCAAGCTGTTCGCTACTGCACATCTCATCATAAGATAATACACAAAATTTATCAATTGTATCCATAGTTTCAACTTTGAAATGTAATAACTGTAAAACATTTTCAAATATTCTAAAATTCAATTTCATGTCTTGAATTTTTTTCATTATTGTGCTATACGATGGCAGTGGATAACCACTATTCCTCAAAAAATTAAAACCATGAACTGAAAGAGCAAATTTAAATTTGAGACCTTTAATAATACTTTCATTTGACCATTAATTCAAACGACCTTTTTGTAATAATTTAATCTGATCATTATTTAAGATAGCAGCCAAAGTCTCTCTTTTAAAACGAAGTTCTTCATTTTCTTGCTGTCCAGCAGCATAACATGCTGCTTTTGCTTGTTGTAACTGATTACGCAAATCTTCATTTTCTTTCTGAAGTTTGTCAATTTGCTCTTCTAATAATATATTTGTATCTTTCTTCTTAAATATACTCCTTGGATCACTTTCTAATATATCCACATTATTTGATATTGTAGGAATTGATGCTTGTTCAACCATAGTTTGGGGTTGAAAAGGTATCATCTTGACTAGTTGCACATCCTTTGGAGTAGAATCACTATTATTTTTTTTATATGTTGACCTCCGTGGAAGTGGTTCAATCCTTGGAAGTGGATTTGGTACATTAAACAATGTAGGAACAGCATTGGGCTTCAATTTTTTCCATCCATCCGCACGTTTACTTTCAAATTGAGAATTTTCAAAGTGTACCTATAAGAAATAAACAATTTTAAAAACACCTCTCGTTGGAAAAATAAATTAAATCATGCTAAAAAGTTAGTATGTTTTGATATATAACTAATAAATCAATAACAATAGACAATTAATGTTTCAAAAATAAAACTGCATATTACTTCACATAAGCGAGAAAAAGAACTTTGGTTCCCAATTGTTTCTTCGCATATTTTGGTTCAATATCGACTTTTGTTTACTATTTGCCGGAAAAGTAAACAGCCGAAAGCCTTTTTCTGATCTGTTGCTACGATTAATTGCAGCACAGCACGGCATCTTCTCTTTTTGAAGCACTGAAAATTGAAGTCTATGAAACAAAATATTTTTTTTATATACATTTTTTCCTACATGTATGTAATTTAAATGTAAGTGAAACATTTTTTTAAAAGATAATATTATTGCTGTATACATTTTAAGTAATGATACAAATAATATGTAACTTTTGTGAATAATGCAAGTCAATAAAAAGTTATGTTTCATAGGTTTTATGATAGTAACAAGTGAAATAATTAATTCTGTTGTGTAAAATATGATTTTAGAAATGATTACAAGCAAGCGTTAAAATAAGAAATTGTAAACTTTACAATACTATGATCGTTCTATTTATATRCAAAAAGAATAAACATACCTTCAATTTTTGCTAGACAAAGCCCAAAAATCTTTGTAGCGAGCTTAGAAATTTTTATTGAAAATGTATTTTTCAATATGTTTTTAGACAGATATTAATAGTTGTTTACGACTATTAAATGACTATTAAACGATTTCAAAAAAATTTCTTTTTCATTCATTCACAAATAATTAAAAAAATTGCAAAAAATAACGATAAAATCTACAGACTAACACTCACTACATACGTTTTTTTAAAACTTCCGCTCACTCAAGAAGCAAAAATGGCGGATGAGAGTACTAATTTCTATAGTGCTCTACTGACGATTAGTTCATACAAGATTTCAAAATGTCGATGAAATATACAGAAATCGGAAAGGTTATTTTTCTCTCAATGTACAGGTTCATATGAAATTTTTTCTTCACCATTAAATCCTTAAGATAGATGAATTCAAAAATTTTTAATTAAAAAATATCTTATAGATAGTTGTTGGTCCATGAATGGAATTTTTAGATATTGTGCCAGAATGGCCTGGTAGTGTTCATAATAGTAGAATTTTTCAAAATTCTCGAATTTACATGAGATATTTAGAACATCAACTAAATGGAATATTAGTTGGTGATGCTGGATATCCATGTCTACCTTAATGACACCAATCAATAACCCAGTAACGGACGAAGAAATCACGTCAGTAATTATAGCTGTTATTTATTTTTAAATAGATTAAAAATTCATACATTTTCTTAATAGATTCATTTTTTAATTAAATTTTCATTCCACAGCGTAACACTATTATTAATTCATTAATTTTTCGTTGCTTGATACAGGTATAATAACATTCAGAGTAGGACACGAAACATAGTGGAAAGAACTTACGGTGTATGGAAACGACGATTTCCTTGTTTATCAAGAGGATTAACAACCAAACTTCTTTGTTCAACCACAATTGTTGTAGCCTGTGCTGTATTACATAATATGTCGTTAAGATTTAATGATAATTTACCAGACGATGATTCAGATGAAGAACAAGATGAAGACGTACATGTACCTGAACCAAATTGGCAACCTGCTGATGGTTTTGCATTTTGTGAAGTATTAATTGAGCGTATGTTTAATGCATAAAAATTATAAATCAATCTACTCACATTAGAGCACTATAGAGATGAGTACTCTCATCCGCCATTTTTGCTCCTACAGAGAAGACACCAGTATGGTTTTGTATAKTAAACACGTTTGTTGACATCAAGCGAGATTGAATTATTTATTGATAATTGTATTAAATTTCATTTAAAAAATTATTTGATAGTTGATGTTAGTACTTAACCCTTTTATTTTGAACATTAAAAAATAGATTAAACTACAAAATACTATTCAGTGATTGAATTATTAACACGGATAACATCTCTCTATTAGGAACGTTTCAGTAATAATTTGGTAAGTAATGATTTTATATTACTCTGAAAAATAGATAATCTGTTTAAATTATAAAAATACTGGATTTGTTTAGTAATATATATTAAATATATTGAATAACATATTACAAATAAAAGCTCAATAACTCTTATTTTTATTTTAAAACAGATGAAAAGTATGCCAGTAAAAAAAGAAGACAACAACAAAAAATCAGTCGCTGCTAAAAGCAAAATGGTATTATATTCTTATTTTGAAACATTAATTATTTATGTTTATGTTATATAAATATGTAAATTAATTGTAAATTTAAAAATAATAATTGTATCTTTTTTAGAAGTATGAAAGTGGAATAAAATCTGTTGACGAAGAGACCATTATGTCTTTGCTTGCTGAAAATTTATCTATATGAAAATCTATGAGGGCTCAAATAGAGAGAATGAATGCAATTTTAAAAGAATATAAATCATATTCAGCAGCTTCAGAATATTTAAGCAAATACAATGTTTCATAATCATGAACTTAATTAAACATGGTAAAAATTATATATATTTAAAAAAAAAAAAAGTAATGAACTGCACATAGCATAAGTGAGTAGTTAGAATTGTACATTTGAAATAAAATAAATTTGTATCATTTATATGAATATATCTATATTTATTTATTCATTTGTTCCGTTGTAAAAATATTATAAAATTATAAATAATAAAATTAACATCATTTTTAACAATGCACAATATATGTGCAGCAAATGCATAAATTAAATGTTTAAAATTTTTCATTGGTATAATGGGTGCGTTAAACAAAAATTTTTAAACAATTGGGAGTTATGGAATAATTCTTTTATAGAAACTTTCTCAGCACAGTCCTGAACTGATATAGCATATGCATATAATTTTAAATATTTAAATGGATCTTTATTAAATTTTGCACTTAAGAAAAGAAATTTATTAATGGAAGTAGATGAAGATATATCGCTAAATTCTCAAATAAATTTAATTGTTATCAGTTTACCAAAGTTTATACAAAATAGGATAGAAAGAAAAACAATAGGAACAATAGAGGACTTAATGTCAAAATTAAAACAATTTGGTCACTTGAATAATGGGAAAAAAGAAAACAATAAAACAGTACCTTCACATAAACCATGTTCAATTTGTGAAAATTTAGGATTTCCAAATAGATTCCACCCAGAAAATATGTGTAGAGTAAAAGAACAAAAATCAAGTAATAAGAGAAATAATAATATTAAAGTGGTAAACAATGTAGATTTGGAAGATGCTATAGCAAAATCAGAAGAGGCAAAAAACGAATAGTTGCCCCGCTTATTAAACTACATGTATTGGTAGATGATAAATCTGCGGTTGGCCTGTATGACTCAGGGTCTAACATTTCACTAATAAATTATGAATTTTTAAACAAAATGAATATGTTAAAAAGTATGATAAGTGGGAATGAAAATATTAAAGGAGTAGCAAGAATAGCCAAGGCTGAAGGCACTGTTACGCTTAAAATAAAAATTGGTAATATTGAAAGTAATTTTTTGTTTTTCATAATAAAAAGTAATACTTTAAAAAATTGACGATTTGAAAATACGTGCTAAAAATTGTAAATATTTCACAAAACTAGATGTAAACTCGGCGTTTTGGTCAATACCGGTACGTGAAAAGGACAAGTACAAGTTAGCTTTTGTGACCCATCAGGGACATTGGCAATGGAAATGCTTACCATTTGACTTAAAAACTTCATCGGCAATATTTCAAAGAATACTATCTAGTGTTTTGAGAAAAAGTAATCTAAGTGATTTTGCCATTAAGATGATATTTTAATTCATTCAGAAAACTATGAGGATCATTTAAAACAGGTAAATCTAACTTTACAAACACTTCAGGACCAAGGTTTTAAACTAAATTTATCAAAATGTGTATTTGCCAGCAACAAAGTTATTTTCATGAGATAGGTGATAACTATATAAAACCAATGAATGATAACCTCGCTGCTATAAAAGAATTTCCTGTACCACAAACAAGAAAACATATCAGACAATTTTTAGGGAAAATAATTTTAAAGCCTTGTACGATCCAAATTTCAGCCTGTACAATAATTTTCGATTTTACGATAATTTAATTCGATATTAATCGATATTATTCGATATGTATATAAATTCATCGATATGTCTCGAAGTTGTTTTTGTTTTGTTTGCTATTTCCCCCACCCCACTGCTTTACAGTCACAAGGCACATAAACAGTAAATTACCATAGCTGAATTTAGTTGGGGGTTCGATGAGTCCACTACAATTTCAGAAAAAATAAATGAAAAAAAAAAAAAACATGAAAATTTGATCAGACATTTTAAAAATATTTTTTTTGTTTTTTTTTTCTTTTCATGCATTTCATGAATGGCGATTTTTTTTAATCGTATGAAATTATTTGATTCATTTACAAATTTATGGTGTTTTTAATTAACAAAATATTAAAAAAAAAAAAGTAACAATATAAAACTGGGGAAATGTTTGATTATAAATATTATCGTTTATCTTTTATAGATAAAATTAGATAAATATAATATATATTTATAATTAAATGAATAAACTCTTTTTAAATTTGTTCAATTTTTAATATGCTATTTAGAATTTTTATTTTCATATATATATTAGGGTGGGTCAAAAAAATGACTTTTTTTTTTCTAAGTGCCACGCAAAAATGGGTTCCTAGACACCTTAAAAGAATTCTCACCCAACATGAGCTCTTAATTTTAATAGGAAGATCCTCCGCATCGCAGTTTTTTATTTTTTTCTCAGTCCAATAGATTAAAATTCATACCTCATTATTTATTGATTGTACAGAAAAATGTTCAAGACGAATTTTGTAGGAAATTTAATGCTCTACAAGAAAGGTATCTTATACTTTTTCCGTAAACCTCACCATTTGAATGATATTGAAGATTTAAATTTGATGATTTTTAGACAAATCTCATTTTTGCTTATGAATTTTATGACTCGACAATAAATGACTATTAAAAAGTGCACAATACAAACTTTTGTAGGAAATTAAATGCTCTATAAAAATGGTGTCTTATGTTTTGGCGATTAAATTGAGCGTTCAAAAGATATTCATCATCAAACTTTTATGCGTACTGATTTTTGTCTCTGAATATCTTTTGAACGCTTAATTTAATCGCCAAAACATAAGACACCATTTTTATAGAGCAGTTAATTTCCTACAAAAATTTGTATTGTGCACTTTTTAATAGTCATCCATTTGAATGATATTGAAGACTTAAATTTGATGATTTTTAGACAAATTTCATTTTTGTTTATGAATTTTATAACTCGACAATAAATGACATTAACAATAACAATTATAATAACAATAATAATAATAATAATAAATAAATAAATAACAAAATTATACCTATAAACTAAGAACACAGTTAGTCGAAAAAGGTTCGATAATTTCCGTTTAAAATATTGAATGTTGAAATAAGCATAGAAGAAACGATTTCAAGAAATTATAAAACTCACTAGCGTTATATTAACACGAAAGTAGAAATAAATCTGAGACGGAAATTGATAACGTAAGACCCTTATGTGCCCACCCCATCCCCAACATGGGGTTTTTCGTAGAATTCAGTGGTGGGGACTAATATGTTTCCTAGAAGTTAAAATGTTTTGAAAGTGGGGGTAAAAAACATCCAATGAATTCCATAACATGAGAGGATTCAAATAAACCCTGCTACAATTGGTCAATCAACTTGGGGAAAGGATTTCGGAAACCTAACAACTACAATCCAATTAGCCACCGTAATAGTAACATTTTTGTATGATTTTTTCATTCTGAAGCAATTCGTTACTAATATATTTAAAATCATTAGGATTTGCAACAAAAAATTTGCTGATTAATGGAATGATGAAATAGTTTATTTTGAAAGTAGTCTTACTCTATTTGTCAATTATTATTTTATAGTTGTACCTTGTTATTGTAGATAGATAGATAGATATTTACTGCGTCCCCGAAGGGTTACACTCCTTTAACAATTATCTCCTTAATCTAACTTAACACTACCCTCTCCCTCACTTCCACTTCCTTTTCTTCCCCTCCCCCTTCACCCGTTCCAAACCTCCACTTCTTCCTCCCTTCTTCCCCTCCTTGCCACTTTTTCTTCTCTCTCATACTCCCAATCCTCTTCATCCACTCCTCCCCCATTCCACTCTCATCCAAAATTTCCTTGATCCTCTCTTCCACTCCTCTCCCGTCCTCCTCCCAGACCGCTCTACTGCAGCCCTCCAACACATGCTCCCATGTCTCTCTCTCCCAACCACACACCCTACATTTTTTCTTCTYCTCCTCYTCCSARTATCTCCCTTCCCTCATCTCATTCCCCAATCTAAATCTCGCCACTCTTCTTTTTCTCTCTTCACTCCACTTTCCTACCCAATATCCTGGCACACCCTCCGCTACCACCGTCTTGTACCACATGTTGTATCTGGATTCCAATATCTTCTCCCATCTCTCAGCCTCCTGTCGCCTTCTTTCCTCCCTCTCAATCTCCTCCCACCTTTCCACCACCTCCACCCCGTCCTGCGCTATCCTCTCTTTGAACTTTATCCTCTCTACTTCCCACTTTGATTTCCGTACTTCTATCTCCCTTTCTCTCTCCTGCGCCTCCTTCCAACACTCTCTCGCCAGCTCACTTCCYTCTCCTCTCCTTAACTTCTCCTCATACTTCCACGCTCTCTTCGCCGCCTTTATTTTCAATTTGTCTCTCTTCCCTTCCTCCCTTACCATATACCCTGGTGTTCTCCAGTCCACCCCCATAGTCCACCTCAAAAATCTTTCCTGCACCCCCTCGATCTCCATCCTCTCCTCCTACCTTGTTATTGTACTACTTTATGTTATGTATTAATAAAGCATTTGACATAATTTATATTTCGAGTAAATGTGATAATACTCTATTGTAAATAAGATAAGACAAAAAGTTTTTGTACTAACAAAATAATTTAAAGACGCAATTTTTAAAAGGGTAAAGAATTCTGA